GATAATTAGTCCCACTCCGATAGCCATTCTCTAAATTGCAATAATTTTACTTTGGAAGTATTTACCCAATGCCGTTTTGAAATATTGAACTTGTTTTGGTTAGTGCTAAAGTGCGGTGTGCCAAACAAGGATGCAGCTTACTGTAAATTCACAATAGTTTATGGAACAGTAAGTGTTGTGACACTGACCTTCTGTGCTTGAAATAGAGTTCTCTGAAGAGATACTGTTGGATTGGACAGTAGTTCTTCTGTAGTTTAGTGCTGCTCACAGTGATGTTTCTGAATCCATCTCTTATCAAACTCTATCAAATCAAGATTGTACACTATTTCAGCACTGACTAAAACTGGGACCCACAAGAAACTGGAGAAAAACAGCCAATGCCAATACACCAGCCTCCTGGATGAGATAACCACAAGATGCCCTTAAGCACAATCTGGTCAATGCTTCACTGTAATCAACTCAAAGTTTTGTTTAGGTAACAAGTAATAACAATTCCTGTCAAACACTCCCATGTCAGGGACAGCATAGTGTTAGACACAGAGTAAAGCACCACCTACTCTTATAAACAAAATAAAGCTTCCTCTGCACTGTCCCCATCAGACATTTCCAGCACAGGCTTAAATACAGAGGAATGGTCCATTAACTGTTCCATTGCAATTTAAATGCCACCTCTTAAATCCATTTCTGCCCGCCTTCATAATTTGTATTGAATCCTATAATTGAAGTTCTGTTCCTTTCTCCAGAACTAAAACAGTTGAGTCACACCTGACATCCAATGTGACACTGACAGAGGTATATTTTTGTCCTTCTTGACCTGTCTGTAGCCTTAGAGTGAGATATTGCTGATTTAGTATTAAATATGTTTGTCTTGGACTGTAGAGAAAGTAAATACTTAAATGTGTAATACAATTTACTGTAACTTTCTCACTCCAACTGCCCAGTGACCCAAATGAGGACATGGCTAGTATTTTCCAATGGTAACTTGATTAGATTTTGGCTCTCAGCAGGTTTATTTGAAGTTCCCCATCCAGTCACAGTTGGATGCAACTGGGGACAGTAGACATGACTAATTTAGGGTGGCACAGTGGTTAGCACTGGTGCCTCAGAGCACCAGGGACCTGGGTTCGATCCCACCCTCAGGTGACTGTGTGGAGTTTGCACATTCTCCCCACATCTGCGTGGGTTTCCTCCCACAGTCCAAAGATGTGCAGGTTAGGTGGATGGGCCATGCTAAATTGCCTGTAGTGTTCAGGGATGTGTAGATTAGGGGGATGGGTCGGTGTGGACTTGTTGGGCAGAAGGGCCTGTTTCCACACTCTAGGGATTCTAATTCATATTCCTTTAAGACAGTTGTTTTTGATGGTTCTTTAGATTTCGAATTTAGAAGGTAAAGTGACGCAGACTCTAAAGTGACGCAGACTCATCAAGTCTGTGTTGGTCAAAAAGAACCACTTAACTATTCTAATCCCATTTTCCAGCACTTGGCTCACAGCTTTGCATGCTTTGGCATTGCAAGTGTGCATCTGAATACTCAATCATAGAATTTCACAGTACAGGAGGCCATTCAGCCCATTATGTATGTACCCATTTCCAAAAGAGCTACCCAGTAGTCCCATTCTCTAGCCCCATCTCCATTGCCCTCTAAATTCATCACTTTTTCAAATATATATCCAGCTCTTTTGAAACTGTGGTGCATTCCAAATCCCAACAACTCAAAGTAAAGGAGTTCCTCCTCATCTCACTCGCTGACAATCTTGAAAGGTGACAGACCAACCAATGGAAACAGAATATCCTCCTTTACCCTGTCAAAATTGGTTATAATTTTGAACCCTCCAGGGATGAGAAGCCCAAATTCCCTAATCTTTCCTTGTACCTAAAATCCTGGTATGATTCTTGTAAATCCCCTTTGCACTCTCTCCAAGGCTTCAACATCATTCCTTAAACAAGATACCCAGACTGAACACAATACTCCAAATGTGGTCTGACCAATAATTTGTAGAGGTGTGGTATCACTTATTTCCTTAGGTTTATTGATAGAGTGTAACCCTAAAGATCCTATAAGCCTACTTACCAACTGTTTCAACTTGCCTGGCCACCTTCAGAGAATTATGCACAAGAATCCCGAGGTCCCTCTGCTCCTGTCCTCCACTCAAAGTTGGGCCATTGACCCTGTACTGTCTCTCCGTGTTTCTGCTACCAAAATGCAACATATCAAAAGCACTGCCCTCATCTACACACCTGGGCACCTCTGTGAACAAGTCCATCAAGTTGGTCTGACATCACCTCCCCTTAACAAAACCATGCTGGCTGTTCTTGATCAAACCCTGCCTCTCCAAATGGACATTCATTCTGTCCCTCAGAATAGCTTCCCCAGAGGTTAAACTGACTTGTCATTTATTGGTTTATCCCTTGTTCCCTTCTTGAATAACGTTACCACATTGGCCAAAGCCATGTACCCATTTTTACTGTGATTTCAAAAATCCCACTAGTTCCCAGCCAGTAACTTTTTTTTTATTTCATAAAATATGATTCCCCACGTGTCTAAAAGCTCTGCTGTCTGTGTCTTAAGTTTCATTCCCCAATCTAGCCCATCTTTACAAACCAACATGGCACTCCATCAACCAATTTCCTGATGTTAGAAATTCTCACCTTCATTTTGAATCCAGCCATGGCCTCATCCCTTCCTATCTCTATTCTTCTCCATTCCTACAATCCTTACAGATGTTCCTTCAGTTGTCGAGAGCTGAAGTTCTGGAATTCCCTTGCTTTCGTCCTTGAATATATTCCTTGAAACCTGCCACTGCTGAAGGTGCTGTTGGTCTGACCTCATCTCTTTGTGTGGCTCTGTGTCAAATGCTCCTGCAAAGCCCCTTATGGTAAAGGTGCTACATAAATATACATTTTGAAGGAACCACTGAGCCCAGCAGAGTGCTCACATTCTGGTTTGGTGAGCTCACCAAGACCTCCTAATTCCATTGCCATCTCCTTACAAGGGGGTAGCAATCCCTTTCACTTCCTGCTGATAGCAGGTTATTTCTGGAACGTCACAACAAACCTGGGTTCATCCCAAAAGATAACTTTTATTGTTCAGTTGAAGTAAGTTGTCAAATACTGGATACAGAGGCATCAGCTAGGTGCTTCATTTAATGTACACAACATCTGCATCGCAACATAAATAAGCTCTGGAGCTGTTTCACAGACAGGATTCAGACAAGGCTCAAATCACTCGGAGACAGTGTCCTTAATCTTGTCTGCTACAGTTTAAGAATTAACATAGCCATCTACTTAGTGAGGGACCACCCACTAGAACAGGTCCGCCTTGGGCTGTGTGGGTGCCATGTTGCAATAGTGGCCAGGCCAGACAACTATACATTATGAAGATAAAGCAAAGTAGTCAGAGTTGGCAGTGCTGATTCAAGTTCAACTAAACGCAGGGAAGCAGAGAGGTCCTGAGGGTAAGCACACATCCAGAGCACTCCCATTCTGAAGAAAGGACGACAGTGACCTCCCCTTCTAGGCTTAAATTACCAAATGGAAGAATGTCAGAAATGAACAGTAGGCGATAGACTGTTACAAATGTTACATTGGCTAGATACAATTTAGTGCATTTAGACCCTCTTTACAAGGCTGTGAGCAGTGTCTGCCAAGACTTCTGTTTCAAGAGGAGTTTTTTGTGGCAAGCAGTGGTCATACGCTAGTCCAGTTTCAGAACCTGGAAAGATGCCATCCAGCAAGAGGAGCTAGGACAGCCAGCAAGCCGAGGTTCCTGTCCACCCTGGAGCTGCCACTTCTGGAGTTGCAGAGGTCCCAGTTACAGCAGGTGAAGCTGAAATCTGAATCCCTACTGTACTTAGCCTTCACGGCCTTGGCTTGACATTCCCGATCAGTCCAACAGCGGCGCAAAAACTTGTGGGTAACTGAAAACAAAATGCAACTCATTAGCACGTTTCCATAATAATTGTCAGGAAGGAGTCAACAGGAGGAAGGGTGGGGCTGGGGGATATCCAGACCCAGCAAACAGGCTGGTCTCAAAGAACTGACAGCAATGTGCAGCCAAGGTCAAGGTAGCACAGGCACTGGGGGAAGGGGAATCATGGGGGGTGAGGGAGAGGGAAGGGGCATCACAGGGGCTGGGTTTAGGGATGGGCTGGGGGAGAGGAAGACAAAATCAGGGAGGAGAGATTGGGGGCTGGCTGGGCTTGGGGAATTGGTCAGGTGAGTGGAGTCATGGGCAAAGGAACCAAGCCCAATCATGTGGATGGAAGCAGTAACTAGAATAAAGCAGCTGTGTAGAGCTGGTATAAAATGCTGGAAATGCTTCACTCGCAGCAGCGTGGGGTGTTCCTAACTGCAGTGGTCCAAGAAAGCAGCTCACCTCCACCTTCTCCAGGAGAATGAGAGATAGGCAATAAAAGCTGGTCCAGCCAGCGACACACACAGCCGAGTGAATAAAAGCACTCCCGGAATGTTTTGATTAAACATTACTTTTTGAAATCATCACAGGGACAGTGACGTGACCCACCATTAACCTGCAGGAAACTCAGATACACACCTTGAGTAACGTTCAGACAGGTATCGTAATTTGAGGTACAATGCTCCTTCGAACACAACAAATCATTATCAGAGTCGCATACGTAGCAAATAATAGCAGAACCTAATGCAAAGTCAAGACAAACAAACAACTGATTAGCTTCATATGGTAAACTATAACTGTTATAACCAAAAGAGCAATGATTCAATGTCAATGTAAACAAAATAGAGAGAGCAAGAGGATGGAGTATGAATGAGTGAGAGCGTCGACCACGTTTCAATGTGAGTGATTGAGAGGCGCAGGTTTACTATGAATGTAGACAAAAGAGAGGGAGATGTTCCTACATATTTACTCAATTCCTCACTCACCAGGTGATCACCCACTTATTTCTCAGTTTCACCCATATAGCTTCACTAGACAATCCCTCAAAAATATCCCAAGTACAGCAGTAATGTTTTTCCTAATCAAAAACGCCACTCACCTTCCTCCCTTGCCTCCCCTTCTATCCTTCCTCTTGCATCTAAACCCAACAACACTGAGCTGCCAGTCCTGTCCTTCTCTCAGCCAGGTTTCTGTAATATCTTTGATATCCCAGTCCCATGTATAGAACCATGCCCTGAGTTTCTCGGTCTCACCTGTCAGGCCTTTTGGACTGAAATAAATGCAGTTTAATTCATCAGTCTCCCCTTGTTCGCTGCCATGCCAACTTAACTCACTCCCTTTAATATCAGTACCAGCCTCAACTTGATTCGGGAAGAGTGGCGGCGGGGGGTGGGGGAGAGGAGTGAAAGGGGAGATCGGGGGGGAGGGGGTTGAAAGAGATTGCAGGTGAGAGAGGGGTAGTGAGGAAGGGAGGCGAGAAAGAGGAGGGGGTTGAGAGAGAGGTGGAGGAGGCGAATGAGATGAGGAAGGGGACGAGAGAGGGGCGGGGGCCGACACGAGAGGGACGGGGGGAGGCCAGGGAGAGCGAACAAGCGAGAGCGAGATAGGAGCAGTTTCTTTATAAAAAAGGATGAACAAGAGAAAGTCTGGGATAACACAGTGTGGAGCTGGAGGTACACAGCAGGCCAGGCAGCATCAGAGCAGTGGCAAAGTTGATGTTTCAGGTCGGGACCCTTCTTCTGAACGTTTCTGATTCCTGAAGAAGGATCTCGACCCGAAATGTCAACTTTCCTGCTCCTCTGATGCTGCCTGGCCTGCTGTGTTATCTCTGACTCCAGCATCGGCAGTTCCTACTATCTCTGAGTGACAGTTTGGAATGCACCCTCCCGGATCACCAACTGTTTCCCACTGCCCAGTTTCCTTAAAACTAACAAACGTTTCTCACTGTAATTTGAGGCAGAAAATGTCACTCACTCACCAAGTGAACAGACGGACAGAAAGAGGAAACTCTTAACTAGCAAGTGGGCCATCATTGCACCGAATTCTCAGGCGGCTCACCTGAAAAAGTGAAACAACAGTCAGTGCGCTCCAGGGTCTGAGAACTCCACGTCACTCCGACCCATTCTCTCCCCCTCTCTCTCTCTCTCT